AAAATGACAACAAACTCACAACTATCAACAACTGAACCTAAAAGATAATAAAAACAAAAACAAAAACAAACTAAGCAAACAACTAGAACAGGAACAGAATCACATAAATGGAGATCAGAGGGGAGGGGAATGGGGGAGAATGGGGAAAAAGGTACAGGAAATAAAAAGCATAAATCGTTAAGTACAAAATAGACAGGGGGAGGTTAAGAATAGTACAGGATATGGAGAAGTCAAAGAACTTATATGTACAACACATGGACATGAACTAAGGGAGTGGGGAATGCTGGTGGGAGGTGCGGTGCGGTGCAGGGCATAGGGGAATAAAGAGGAGTAAAAAATGGCACAACTCTAATAGCATAATCAATAAAATATATATTAAAAGTAAATAAATAAAATACAAAGAAAGGCTTACAAAATAGACAAAGTTCTAGCATCAAAATTGGAGAGTGTGCACAAATAAATATGGTTAGAAATGGATAAGGGCACATAACTTGAGATGCATTAAAGAGAGAGAAGTAGAGAGATGTGAACAGGTTATGCAAATCACACAGGAAAGTTTGGACAACATGACTGAGTTTTTTAGGAAGAAAAAATGATTTAGGACAAAGAAGAAAAAGAAAGCAAAATCCCTATAAAATAAAGAAATTTAATTAGTTTTAAGAATAATTCTACAAAGAAAATTCTACAAAGAAAATTTAGATTAGTTTATAGGCTAATTCTACAAAACATTCTAGAAATTGGAGGAGATATTGGTAGCATGTGACAGACTTGGTATCCAGAAATAAAAAAAAAATCCATCAAATCAGTATGCCAGAGACCTAACCTGATAGGAATTGGACAAAAACGCAAACACTGGAAAGGAAGCACAAGTGATTCAAAATATATGAAAGATACTTAACTCTTTTAAGAATTATAGTAGTGGAAATTAAAATCCAATTTTGTGCCAATTCATACTCATCGGATTGACAAATATTAGGAAGTTTTACGCTGTCACATGCAGGCACAGATACAGAGCAACAGGAACTTTCTTCACCATACCTGACTGTAAATTGGCACAATCACTTTGGAAATTATGTATTACCTAGGAAATTTGAATATGTTAATATTCTCCTTTCAAAGAATTCTGTTCTAGGTATGTACCCTAGAGAAATTCTTCTACAAGTGTACCAAGACTTATACACATGAACAATGTACATTGAAGTTTTGTTCATGATAGCAATCAAAGAAAACATCCAAGTGGTAATCCACAATAGAGTAAATAAGTGGTGGTATAATCACACAATGCCATTGTGTGCAGCTGTGAAAATAAATACACTAGAGCGGCACTCATCACCATGAATAAATAGCAGAAACTGAAAGTTAGACCAGTGGGTTTTAAACATTGGTGAGTCCTGGAGAACTAATGGAGAGCTGGACCTCTGCAATTTTATCAGTTTCCAGGTGATCCTGACACACAGCAGAGCCCCTGAGTTAATACAACTACAGGAGGCATGTATGCAGACTGTTCAGCTTACACAAAGCTAAGCAAAACATACAAGTTACACATTATTTGGATTACATATGTAGTCATAACATGACAAAGGCAGGCTCTTGGTGAGCAGGAAGATTGAACATTTGGGGAAGAGGCATCTGGCCAAGATGCAGGTTTCTTAGCTTGATGGAAGGCACACAGAAATTATTTTATTACCCATATTTTAATGTATGTAATACTTTCAAGTTAAATTTACTTTACAATATAAACTTAAAAAGTAACAAAATAAGCAAGATTATTTTGAGCCTCTGCACTCCAGTGAGCGTTTGGGTATGACATGTTACTGTTGTCTCTTCTGCTACCTTGCTGACTTCAGTGAGGTCAGTGGGGGTCAAACAGTATATACTCTGTCTTGCTTCTTCTGCTCATCAACAGCACTATCTGGAAGGAACATTCAACTGGAATGAAGGGCAAGTTTGTTTTCCAAGCGAGTTGTGTAAATTGGCTACTTGGAGTGTCCCCTGAGCCCTTAGGAATGCAGAGGCCAGGCTCCCTCAGGGCAGTCCAGAGGCAGACCTGGTATGCAGCACAGAGGCACTGCCTGGGAGGAGTGAGCACATCACTGCTGACACCCCTGTGGTGCTAAAGAGACCCAGCGAGGCCAATGGGATCGGAGAGGGCCTGGCATGGAGATGCTGGGACTCACTGATGACATGGGTTTGGAATTCTCCAAAGATAAGGACACATCCCTAGGAAAAGAGGTGACCATTTTCATTGCCCCAAAGGGATCTGGGGCGTTGCTTCTGTGGTTTCTTAGATTCTGATTGTAACTCTCTGTACTGGGTATGTAGAATAGGCCCAGAATTACTGGGAGGCTGGGAGCAGTGCATCGACGGGCAGAGTATGTGCTTTGACCCAGAGTGAGTGGATGAGAACTGGGCCAGACAGGAAGACCTCAAGAGACCTAGCAGATTTTTACTGTAAGGATTTTTACTGTTGAGTTGGTAAGAGCTATGTCAAGCTTTCAAGGAGTCCTGGGTAAGCAGAATGATAAAAGAACAGTATGGAAGCTAGGCAGTGGAGGGTAGGGGCTAAACCCCCTTATTTATGTCATGACAGCCCCTGGCTCTCTCATCCCAGGTGCTGCCACAGGTTGCTGGGGAAGGTGATGGTTACACTTAACTAGAAAGGTACTGTGTGCCTGTAAGTCAGACTCCCTGCAGATTTCCAGGGTCCTGCTTGGGGTGCAGTGGGAAGTACTCAGTGCCACTGACTTCCTTCTAGAAAGTTGAGGATGCAGGAAAAATTTAGTAAAAGGACTTCAAGAATTAGTGAGAAAAGCAAAGGTATGCAATGTATCTATTTCCTCTCCAAGGTGTTTGGCTCTGATTAACCCCTTAGGCATAAGTCAAATTATGTTATTCATGACCTCATGTTTTTCCCTCTACATAAAAAAAAAAAAAAAAAAAAAAAATCCCTCCCCAAATCTCCTATATGCCTTCTCCAAGTAAAGCTAGCTCCTTTACTCATTGCTCTTTTTTATAGTCATCCTTACTGTTAGATCAGAATGTGGTTTTCCCCACCCTACTAGCCTAAGCTCAGGACAGGATCTCTGTGAGCAGGGCAGCTCAGAGCAGAGCACAGCACCCAGGCTCATACTCAGCTCCCTATCTGTGCTGGTTCTTGACGCAGCTGGTTTCTGGGCCTGTATCACCTTGTGGTCCTGAGATGTGAACAGTTTGCTATTTCCATATTTTTGATTGTCACTTGGTCCCCATCCAACAAGGTCATCTTCCCCTCAACAAACTTTTGTCAGGAATACATAGGTCAGTGGTTTAAACTCAGATTCAATATGTAATAACACTTTAATTCTTTTGAGATTACTGCATTTCAGCATACTTGAGAACTATTGATCATTCTAAAAGGATACAACTTTTGATTTCTTATTTTCTCCCAGATCTAGCACATGTCTTCAACTGACCAGTCTTTGCACTCATATCAGATTCCTAAGGCAGTTCCTGAAAAACAAAGTTTACCATTTTACCTTTAAACATCTTGTTCTTTAAGTGACTTTGAAACAGATGATCACTGATATCTAACCTCATTAGCTCTAATTATAACACATCATTGTCTCAAAGCTAGAATGTATTATCTGCAAAGAGGAAGACTGAAGAACTATTTTGAAACATGGTTGTTCACAGTTAAAATCTTGACTTGCAGCCAACCACCAATTTGGTCACTTCTTAGAGACGGTGAAACAGAGCAACCTGACTCTCACTACTGAAACCCCTGGTCAAGCCAGTTTCCCTGTCTGTAGCTCCCATGTGCCCTCAGCCATGGAGCACTTTTTGGCCTCTGGAATCCTCCTCGGGAGAGTGGCCAGAGATTTACAAAAATTGTAAATCTGATTGAGGTTTTTTGTGCCTAAAACCTTTCAAGGGCTCCTCATCATCCTTAGTGTGGGCATTTTAGCCAGCTTTACTGATCCCCCAACCACATCTGGAAGCTGGTAATGTTTCACAAGTCCTACTGCCTCACAGGACACAGTTACTGCCCCCCTGGCTTCAGCAGCACCACAAATTCAGCTCCACATTGCTGCCTCCCTGCCCTCTCCCCACCCCCCACAGCATGCAAGCACTTTGCTTAACAAGTTCATCCTTCAGGTTCAGTTTCAGTGCTAATTCCTCAAAGAATCCTCATGCTGGAAAAAGCTCCCTGTGGCTAGCTCCCTATTTCTATGCTTCCTATTTCTATGCTTGAGAGTGCTCATTTTAAAATGCATAACAACAGGATCTACCTTGTAGAATTTCTAGGGCTGTTGTGAGCACCAAATGAGATAATGTATGTTAAGAGCTTAGCATACACTCTAACATGGAAAACACAATGGATTTCCTTTGTCTCTGTATTTTCTTATTGCATCACCAGCATATTTCATCCTGTGATGACCTTGAGCTTAACTGAATGGATTAGACCTGACTCATTCACAGCCATATCCCCAGTGCTTAGCACAGAACAAACCACAGAGGAGATGTTGAGTAGATTTTGTGCCATGAATGAATGGATGGGTACATTTTCAAAATTTGTATGCAAATCTTAAAAAAGAATCTAATTATTAAAGAATTAGAGGGAACTCATTGCATTTTGGTAAATTATGTCAGAGGAAACCAGTTTTCCTTGCCTAAATCAGATCAATGACTCCCAACAGAAAATTTAGTCTTTACTTCCAGCTAATGCCTACCATGACTTTTGACATCACTGGTTCTTAAGAGCTTGGTTCTGTGGAAGCCAATACATTGGTGTTTTAGCCACAGACATCTTTTCCTGGCTTCAGGGAAAGTGTTGAATAATCCTGTTTCCATTTTAGGGTTAGCAAGTATTATTTGTAAACAAGCAACTAATGGACTGCGTGACCTAGCCCCAACCATTAATCCCTTTGGCATCAGCTGTTCAAGCTGTTAGCCTCCTGATAGGCATTATGCAGAGAAGGTTCATGAGTCAATGGTAAGCATGGGTCTGGTTATCTTCCCAGGAAATCAGTGACCCGGAGATTCTGGATCTGGTCCACAGCGCCCTTGGCAGGATGACCGTGGTCCGACAGATCTTCCCGTCTGCCAAAGACAACCAGAAATGCATGAGGAACAACCACCGCATTTCCTCCCTGCTCTGCGACCCCCAGGAAGGCTACCTTCAGATGCTGCAGGTCAGTGCTCATCTCCCGAGCTCCCTCCAGGAGGGAGTCTCATCCACGCTCTTGGTGTGCCCATATACTTTAATTACTAGAATTCTGTTATTTGATGACATTGCAACCAATCAACAGGGTAGTGCCTCTGAGCAGCATTAGCTGGCAGTCATAGCTGCTGTTGGTAGTCAGGCTCTCAATTGCTTGGGTGCTTCTTGCAGTTAAAAGTTACATGCTGAGGGAGTAAGGAGCTTCCTGTCTCTTAGGCTTCTGTGATGACTGTTTTGTTTGGGATGGGTCATCTGGCAGGACTAGGGACGAAGCCTTCCTGTGAGGAGTCATCATTTTGAACCTGCTTTAGGTTTTTCCCTGTAAGAAGTCAATAATATGGAGATAGCTCTTGCGAAACAATTAGAGACTCTGATGATCAGCTCATCTGCAGAATACTGAGGTCAACCAGGATGCTGCTGCATCCCAGCTGAGCAGGGAGGGACAAGAGGGCAGGACCTTCACCTGCCCACCTGTTCCATTCCTTCCAAGAGGTACAGTGTTTATGGTCAGTCCTTCCTCCTGTCCCTCAGCAGAGGTGTAGCCTGGCAGCAGGATATGGAGCTGTGCACCTGTTGTGAAAGGAGGTTTTCTCTTGGCTGTTTGAGGGTAACGATGAAGCACTGTGGAAAATGTCCCTTGGCAGCCTAGAATCTGCTTCTCCACTAAGAATATCAAGCACAAGAAAACTTTCCTTTGCTACTTGATGGGAGACAGGTAACATTTCTTCCAAATGGGTTTGTGAAAATTGGCCAGAAGTTTGTGCACATAACATACTTGCCATTCAGCATTTAAAACTAGTTACATTTTTCTACCCAGCCAGGCATGAGGAGTAGAAATTAGGGTTGCTGGACAGGGACAGGCTGTATCTTCCACCTGAGTTTCAGTTCCACCCTAAGGCATTGTGATGTCACCTATCAGAAGATACACATTTTGGGGAGGGGAATTATTAGACTCTCTGGAGTAGGCTAGGTACATGTGTAATTTGCCAAAGCACTGAATCCATTCTATAATCTTATATTTGGCAGGGGGTGGGAGGTGGGAAGAAACATGCCCCAACAGATGGTAAACACTAGAAATAGGTTCTTAAGGAAGCACAGCAGACACTGACTTTTCACTGGAGTAATTCCCACTCTCCGTGTTCACTGCTCCAGGGAGCTCTCAAAAGGTCTGGGTCTTTCTAAGGTGGTGAAGGGTTTGGCCAAGAGGGGACCGAAGGCCTCTGCAGGACCCATGGACTTGAGATCTCTGGGCATACGGGCCATGAAGAGAGGCAGGTGCTTGATGCAAGATTTTATATTTTTGGATCCTGCTGGTCTGTTCTGTTTTCCTCTGTTCTGGAGTTTGAAAGAAGGGGTGAGGGCTAAATACATCCCTCTCACTGTGCCTCAGTATTTATCATCCCTACTCTCCATGAGGGAGGAAGAGCAGTGGATAATGTGGCTCAGGCAGTGGGAGCCCATCCCCATATCCCCAACAGGGCAGGAGGGAGAGGGGACTTTCTCATTCTCTGGAGCCAAGTTATATCTCCTTGAAGGGCTTCATCCTTCTTCAAACACATGCTAACCTTGCCCTCGCCTGTCCTGTATCCCAGACATTTGTCCAATTCTTGCTTAGTCATAGTGTACTTCTACTTGAGGAGCAAAAGAGGGGCCACTTTGCATTGCACTGCACAAATTGGGGTAAGAGGAGGGGGAAAGCAGTTCTCCTTGAGGCCTATGATTACTCACTTTGCAAGAATTAAAATGTGCAGGTAGACTCGGTTGCACAGCAGATAACCTAGATGTAAAGAATCTAACATGGAAAATAAGAGAGAAGGGAGACTGATGGTGAATCCAGATGAGACCATACTAAATTGACCCATACCCAATAAGAGTATCAACAAAGGCACAGCTCAAAGGTGTGTGGTTAGTCATCATCAAGCATGGTCAATCCAATATCAGATCTAGAACCCTAGCCTTACTACCTTTCTTTGTTCCTGCTGAGACCAAGGGACTACAGAGAGAGCAGGATTTAAAAGCGACATTACAGAGATCTTGAAGTGGTAGCATCAGTAATAGCAGTAGTGGCATAAGTAGTAGTAGTAGTAGTATAGCAGTAGTAGTAGCAATATTAGTAGCAGTAGTCATAGCAGCAGCAGCAGCAGTAGCAGCAGCAGCAATTGTAGTAGTAGCAGCAGCAGTAGCAGCAGTAGCAACAGCGGCAGCAGCAGCAACAGCAACAGCAGCAGCAGAAAGGTAGTAGTAATTGTAGTAATTGCAGCAGCAGCAGTAATTGTAGCAGCAGCAGCAGCAACAGCAGCAGCATAGTAGTAATTGTAGCAGCAGCATAGTAGTAATTGTAGCAGCAGCAGCAACAGCAGCAGCATAGTAGTAATTGTAGCAGCAGCAGCAACAGCAGCAGCATAGTAGTAATTGTAGCAGCAGCAGTAGCAGCAGCAGTACTTAATTATAGCAGCAGCAGCAAAACAGGAATGAGATTGCTTGGATTCAAGTCTCAGTAACTCTAGTACTAATTATTTAATCATTATTATTTATTTGCCATTCTGTATCTCAGTTTTCTCTTCTGTAAACTGGGGATTAGAATATTACCTACCTCTTAGAGTCACAATGAAAACTAAATGAGAGAACATATAGAAAGCACTTAGAGTGAGACTGAGCTATTAATCGTTTCATTATGGAGGAGGAGGCCAGGTGTGTCACAGGGTTTCCATGGAAAGACTGAACATAGCCTCAGTTTTTTTTTTTTTTTTTTTTTTGTATGATGTTGCACCTATCTTCCTGAGAACAGTCTTTAAAAGCATCACAGCAGCTGGGAAAGCATTTCTCATCTGTCCAAAGCCCCATATCACAGGTATCATGTACAACTTACTGTCCACATCACTCATGCAGGTACTTAAAGCTGTCTTTTGTGGGAGAGGAGAGGACGTGTCTTTGAGACCAATGAGTTCTTCATATACAAGACCCTACTCACCAGAGACCTTCAATAAGGATGAATGAGAAGGATATGTTAAGAATGTAGGTCTTAACACGAGTTAAACAGTCTCTAGAAGCCTTTTTATATATCTATAAATAAAATACTTTTTAAAAAGAATATCTTTGTTTGTTGCATCTTCTTCCTTGTGTGGGGCTATCATGAAAGGGAAATGTGGATTTATTTACTTGTCCTTCCCAGCAACCATTTGGGCAGCTTGTAGGTTCATCCCATTTACAAGCCAATCTCTTCAAGTTTTCTTAGTAGCTATTACCTCTTCTTTCTTTCTTAATGATGGTGTAGAAGGCAAACTAATTTCTACTAGCCTCTGGCTGTGAGATTTATTGAGGAGATTCTAACATGTTTAGAACAATCAACTGAATAAAAAAACATTTATGTTATGGATTATTAATTTTGTCTTGATGAAATTAATGGAAATCCTTTTGGAAATGGAGCTCTTCAGTTTCTCCCTGAGACAGCTGCTCTTATGATAATTCTGGGTTAGAAGTTTTCAAAGGGACCATCAAGAACGGGGATATTTTATAAGATCATCCATCTCTCGGCTTCTCTGTGGAGCTGGCCTCAGAAACTCCATCTTCTTCTATTAGGCTTGTGGTCAGGGCTTTCTGTGCTGTAAAGCCAACCAAGCACTATTATAGCAAATCAATTTGGTTCCTATTTAGTAGAGAGGAAGTCCCTTGGAAGAAAAATACCTAAATCAGTGTCTTCTAGTGGCTTTAAAAGCATTGCATTTGCCAGTGTGCAGTGCTGTTGTATAGTTTTCCCTATCAAGCACTGTCTTATTTGGGTGTTTCCGTTCTTGTTTCCTTGACAAGCTAGTTTAGGGCTTGTCTGACTCAGCCAGTAATAAAAGTGATAACCAGTCCCTAAGAACCCTGAGATTTTGCTAAGATTCCATGGGCAGCCGTGCTCAGAGGAGAATCTGTAATGAACTTGGTCTTCAGAACTGCACTACCTGCCAACTTCCAGGCTATAATTGAAGTAACAGACATATTGTCATGTTGACACCCCATTTATATTCAAATGCGTTTCCAAAGGAGGACAGGCAAATGATATAAGCTGTGTTGTCTGGTCACTGTGGAGCCTGATCCTTGAATTAAGTTGTGAGGCCTGATGTGGTTTATGATAAAATGGTCCTTCAGGTTGAAATTTCTCTTCCTTGTGTATTTTAAAATTGAGTGGCTTGAAAGATGGAATCACTCCTCCCCTTCTCAATCTGTTAAAGCATTTCAAAACTCTGCTTCCCTCAACTTTATTTCTTTAAGACTTTTTTGTATCCTTCCTTGGCTACAAGTTTTTGGTCAATCTGCAAGTAGAATCCTTTCCTCTGGAGCAACACTGAGCCTCCCCTACAGCGCTACCTTGGACTTCATGTCACTTTCACTGGTTACTTCATCCTAAAGACCTAGGTGGAACAGTTAGCAACCAGAGTGGGGGAGCATGGTCATCGATGCTTTTGTCAGAGACAATTGCACAGGCAGTCTCCTTGGGTGCAACTGGTTGCCATGCTGGCTTCAGGTAACCACATGTGCATTTGGAACTAGAAATTCTCTGGTATGGACAAATGCCCCTTCCCACTCTCCACACCCTCCCCTCAGATTCAGCTGTGGGAAGAGCTCCCCATCCCCTTTGCCCTCTGCCACCATCTGCTCCCTCCTCAGGCCTGGCTGTGCTGCCCTCTCTCTGGACAGGTGGGTTGGCAGCAGTTTGGCAGAGAGGCCTGGCCTGGGGATGGATTTCTCAAGCTGTGACATCTGGGCGTCAGCTTGTCCTCCCAGCTGGACCCCATGCCGGCTGCTTGTCTGACTTTGCTGGATGACCAGAGCCTGTCTGGGGATCTAATCAGAGGTCGGTTCCTGCTGTTTGCCTCTCTGAGGTCTCCCTGAACAGTCTACTTGGCTTAATTAATGACAGAGGGAAGAGAAAACTGGTTTTTTTAGAAGCCTAGAAGGAAATGCAGCCTTTCTTAATGAAAACAT